AATTTTCGAGAAATTTTTCGAACATATCGTTTATACATATATTAATCAGTGGTGTGTCCTGCAATGATTCACAGCGACCTCTCTTTTATCAATTATATATTTTTGAAAAAATAGCAAGTGTTATTACAGTACTTATTTTTTTTACAATTTTATTTTATTTATACAATATTCAATGCCTAACGATTATTTCTTACATTTTTTTTGTTTTCCATTTTCTAACGAAGGAAAAGATCACATATCTGTACGTAATCCTGAACGGTCGGCGAAGATTAATCAAAACATTTTTTGATGGGAGGCAGTCAAAGCTAAGATTTGTACGCGAAACGATATTTACCTGCTGTGTTAGTGGCATTTTGCTGAGTTAACGACAGCACAAGGACAAGCAGTGAGCGAGGATGCTCGTTAAATTAACGAATTTATTGTCCAGACACTCGTAAAATTTGCCGATTCCCCATAGGCTCCTGATTTCTCGCCGCGAGCTCTGACGGGATGAGTCACAGCTGAAACTTGGCAATTTCGACACTCACTGTTGATTCGACTTGGCAATTCCGATGCTCTCACTGTTGATTCTTCGCACGTTGTAAGCGCAGCAATAATAATTAAACACTTTTATTAAATCAATGCGCTACGATAGATAAGAAAGTTTTCATCAAATTGCCTGTGAAACATATATGTTTATTTCAAGTTAAACTTTCCTCGTTAAAACACTCGCAGATTCTTCAAATCATCTCGCGGTGTGAAAAGCGGTTGTTTTTGGCAAGGTGCAATGCGCCGTACATTTTCGTTTCGCCCGCTCCATTGCCCGCGGCCGCGCAAGACGAAGTAAGTTTCTCAAGTCTACCGTGAATTTTCATTCAGCGAGCGGCCGGCGTGGATTTCCGTGAGAACTGTCTCGAGGAGTTTGTATAGGGGGATACACCTGCAGAGAAAACAGGAGGGGGGGGGGGGAACCGGGCGACCGCGACGCATTTACGGAGATTTAGAGCGAGCGTAACAGCGCGGCTCGCCTCGGCTCGGCGTCGGATTTTGTCCATTGGTCGCCGCCGAGGAGGTCCTGCGAAACTCGCGGCGACGAGCAAAAGGAGTATACGTATATTCCTGAAGATTATCTTTCCCGCCATGGTTCTCCGATCTAACTTCTTTCGCCGTCCCCGTTGCGTCCCTCTTTATTCCGTTCCTCCTTTAACCGCGCTTTGCGCTCGCCTCGCAGATGGCTAGTTTTTTATCTTTCGCGTTATTAACTCCCACACTTATTTCGCTGCGCATTATGCGAGGAAAATAGAGAAGTACCACCCTCGCAGATTGTCTTCGAAAATATATTTGTTGAATTCATGCGGATAAAGATGATCGGTCGATGATCGTTATATAAGCGTCTCTTATGCTTTTGCATGGATAATTTTAACGTACAAGTCAGGCCGAGAAATCTAAGATATTATTATCATGTAATCTGCAATCTTTATTTTGTATCATGCAAAAGTGACAAGAAAGAATTCAAGTTTAACGATAGTTAATTGTAAATTAGGATTCCGTGATGATACATTTATGATTCTTAATAAAGGAAGTGCGTCATCTTGCGTAAAGATTACGCGCATAAATATTTGATAACATCCGCTTTAATTTATTTTAAGATACAGATCGATACTTCAATTATCGCAAATATTTAATAAGTACAACAAGAATAAGGCTTTAAAACTATTCGAATGCATAACTCTTTGACTCGCCTTTGCATTTTAATTTCTTTTTTAGTTACTTAAATATTTAATTTTTCTTGTTGAAATCGTTGTTTGTTAAAACGTCAAATTTTATTTAGTTGTTTAGTCCATTTTTATTTGCTTTTATTGTAAGATTGTTAATTAATACTGAAGACGAGAGAATATTCTGACTGAAAACAGAAAAAGTATTGGACTCGTATTTTTGCTTCAACAGATGTACTTGCTTCGTGAAAAGAGAATGCCCGGTAATTGTATGTAAACGGGTAAATTGCTCGGTATTCGGGAATGTATATATTCCAGACGGAGCTCGTCTGTTTGAGGTGTTCACGTCTTTAAGGTGCTCGAGGTGCTGATCCGTAGCCGGGACCAATAATTTAGACGGTTTCGGGGGATCCCGGCAATAATTTAACCCGCTAGGGAGGCCTAAACCGGCAGCTGCGCCACGACAGCAGGCACGGGGCGACGGAGTCGCGATAAACTCTCATAATTCACTTATGGGATATCCACGGCGTATCAGCGTCTCAGCCCCCGCTCGCCTCGCAGTCGCGCACGCACCGCTTAAATGCGCGCTTCGAGTCGAGAAACTCTCCATTGAATGCGAATGCGCGTTTCGTAACGTTTGTATACATATATATACACAGGCGGGCGTGCGATTATTCATAGGTATGCATTGTGAGCACGGAGTCGCGCTTAGCGAGATCTACTGAAAACAGAAATGTCTGAGAGTAGTGCGGGTGTTGAGGAAGAGTTGTAAGAATAATTATAATTATAATTAAATAATTATAGTAATAATATAAGGAAAGCAATAGATAAAGTAATTATAATTAAAAAGAAAGAACTTTGACCGATTTTTAATTGATTTTTTTAGTTAGAAAATACGCTTCAAGTCTTTAAAATATAAAATAATACAAAATATAGAAATGGATTTATTATACTGTACTGTATCTTATATGAAAGTCGAGATTTTTATTTACAAAACTTCAAGATGCATCGCATGAATTGAATGTTTTACTGGGTTTTTTTCGGGCCGGCTCTGGCAGAAATAAACGATAGATGTAAATTTTGGTACAACCTGCCGCGGGATAGGCAGATAATTAATTCTGTGCGAAGCAATGCTGCGTACAGACTATGCGTAAGCCTCAAAGACATCGCGAGAAAGGTAAAAAGTACACCTGCACGCGGTGTAACCCACCTGGGGATTAATGGGATAATTGTGAACGTACGATGGGGAATTTAGTCACTGTCTGACTACACCGAAGTGCATTTTGCGTTATTAGAATGCATGCACATAATGAATAATAACGTTTTACAATCGTAAGAAATTAATAGATGGAAACTCTGTTGAGATACCGCTTTTCTAATCTGACAAGTATTAAAGATTGGTTATTTTATTTCTATTTTGCGCATTTTATAAAACTTTATCATTAGAAAGTGTAAAAATAAAAAATTTTTAGATTTAGACTTTCTTTTTTTACGTCAAAACTTTAACAATAATAAATAACTAAACATTTGGAATATATATTTCATAATTGTTCACTTCTTTCTAAGTATAATCAAACATAATTTATGGATGCAACCATTTTATATACATAAATATCGATAAGCTTTCTCTTCTTGTTGTTAACGGCGTTTTACTTAAGTATTCTTTCATAGAAAATTAATAGTGGGTGTACTTACTTTTTTTCGAGCACGATGGATATCGTTGCATTAATCCAATTAAGATGTCGGTATTGATGGTTGCGGCTGCAACGTTATAATGATCCTTCGTGGTCAGAGATACGTATCGTATCGACCTTTCCTTATTCCGAGCTACTTCTGCGTCATGCAACGTACAATCTGGTAGTCTTGGTGATGGCCGGTGACGATGGCAATGGTGTGGCGCTTGCACAATAGATTCGGTTTGATACATCGTCACAGGAGACCGTTAATTTCGTGGCCTCCTGGCCCACAATGCCCCCGCACACACCAGCCGCGCCTGTCCTGCGTTTAGATTGCTATTCTCCATCGAATGTCGTTTACGTTAATAACTCATCCAAGTAAATAATAGCAGTTAAACGCTGCACGGCTCGAGAATGCTGCGCTGCCCGTCATTACCCAGATTTCAGCACTGTCCACCGACTCCAAGAGCAATTTACATTCAATTTATCTCGCTACCGAGACGAAAGCAATCTCCCCGCTAACGTGAAACAAAGGAGACTATTGTTAGCGGTTCAGAATTCTGATTTAAGATATCTAAATAATGTATTTATTTTATTTTATTTTTTATTATATTTTACTTTATTTTCGCCGACAGAATTTTACTTTCAGTTCGTGTGCAGTTATATTGAGTTCGTATGAACTCAACACTAATTTACGCTAATTTTACACATAGGCGTATTCCTGATATGTGCAATTTGTAATTCATGTTCAAAGTACTTCTGACGTTTTCATGGATTATTTTGCTCGATAATAAACAATTATAATTTTAAAACTATATCTTTGTAACTTTTGTAAATTATTATAAAAGGCAGAAATTGATTATTATATTAGATGATACTTTTTTATATATTATTTTGGAATGCAAAAAATTAACGAAAGTTACCATGCATTGCAATGTCACATATGTACATGGAAAAATACGTGTTGAATGCCTGACAACGTGCCAAATTCAGGCACGTTCTGACGTACTTTAGGCAAATCGAAGAGCTCGTTTTAGCCGTACGCGAATGTCCTCTTCTCGAGAAGAGACACACGTGCTTCGACTTTGGAGTTATTCTATACATGTCGAGAATTTCATGCGCGAACAAGTGACCTGACGTTGTTCTCCGAAATGTTCTGGCAAACTACACGCGAACTACGATTATGATCATAGCGCCGTTCATTTTCTAAAATAGCGTCATGTAAAGTCGTCAACACATTATGGTAGTCTACGTTTATAAATTAAATAGTACAGTAAACGTTTATGTTAAATTATGATAAATGCAGAAATTTGATTACTAATACGATAAAATACGAATATATAAAAATTTACTGTCTTTTAATTTCTTTTAATATTTTCTAGCTTGAGTTACTATTTTTTTTTTAATTTAAGAAACAGAATACACGATATATTTAGTCAAGATTGTGCACTCTTCTTTGTTCTATCTTCGGATTTTGTCCTTTCGATTCTTTAATCAGAAAGATCTTCCGTTGTCACGAACGTTCCAATTACTGTGCATTATAATAATAATCATAGCCGTGCTCGCTTTCTACGAGGTGTTATCGAGTCAGGCTCGATTGATGAGCATGTTCATTTGTTTCTGTTTCAAGGAACAATGCCAACATCGCCGTCCCGCCCACCGTGTCGGCCGTGTCGAAGAAAGAGCCGCACGAGAACATCGCTCGGATAGCGAAGCGGTACCTCGACGATAACATGCAGCAGGCGTGGATCAATCCTCGTCTAATATCGATGGTGAGTGAATATAAATGTAATGATTATACACCTGGCCCGATTATACACGTGCGTTCATTCGTGCCCATTATCTTCGGCTCGTGGTGGAGGGGGGGGGGGGTAACGCGCGTGCACTTTCCGAGCCAACCAACAAATTAGTTTGCGGCGGACTTCAACATTGGGAAAGTTTCGTGATTAATTTATTGGGCGGGAATGCGCGCACACGTTACATCGGCGCCGCTACACGGAAGTAGAAACGGCGGCGAGTTTCTAACTCGCCCGGACTATTTCTGCGATTTCTGGTTAGAGAGTCCGGGCTGCGCGCGATATATAGTGCGGGATCTCTTGGAGCATCAGCGACAGTGCCTAGGATTTCCACGTCGCTGCTGTTCGCCGGGAGAAAACACTTTTGCGACATCGCCCAGACCGTCGATCGATGTAGAGTTTGCCTACGGCAACTGCCGACAAGTTTTTACAGCGTTTCGAAATGACTTACACGTGATTTTGTCAAATTGCTTCTTAAATTTTGCGCGATTAATAATGTTTGGAATATTGATTTAGATTTCGAATATATATATTTTTCATAAAAGAGACTTTACCAATCCAGAATCTGTTTTTATTTCCGGTGAATAAATATTAAATGCTTCATTAAGATGTTCCACTAAGAGCATTCGTGGATCCGCACTGCTGATGTTTAAAATATTACGGAAATAAATCACATGCTCGTAGTTCCGGGTCAAGTGTCTCATTAGATTCGTAACCGAGCCACTCATACTTTGCGGTTTTGATTCCAAGTCTAGCATACAGTCAATTCGGAACATCTCATCTGCACGTGACTTTTCATGAAATGTAAATTTGAAAGCAACGATTGTGAATGCCAATAAGTTGGATGATCTAATTATTGTTGAAAGTTTTCTTTTGATATATTACTTTTTAATGATGCCTCACGAGATGCATATAGCGAGCAAATGATGAAAAGATCGCATATCATTGAAACTTTTCCGCTCTGGATATTTTCTGTTTGCTTCTTTATGAAATTTTTATGTTTGCAATGCACAGTCCTACTTATGCAATGTATGTACTAAGAAACTGGAGATATGGAAATGGCTGAAATGATTTATACTCTTTCTATACAATTTACAAATAATTCATGCAATTCAGTGAAACATTTTTCGAAGTATTTTTATTAAAATTGTTATTTGTCATAAATCAGTATAAATATTCTAAACATATGTTACATGATATTATATAAAGAAGTCAATTCTAAAAGATGAGAAATATACGTAAAATTTATACAATTTACAAAAGTTAAAAATAATGCACAAAGAACTTGAAGAAATCGCGTTGTAAATAATCTGTTCAGTATTACGTGTATCTCTTTATTTTCTCTGTATATAAACTCGAGTTAGGCTTGATACGCCATATACGGTGACCAGTTATGTCGGCGCGGCGCGCATCGAACTGCGATTCGGACGAGGTAGAACGAGCGGACGGTCATTAAGCGAGCCAATAACAAACTCGTGATCCACATAACCCTTCGTTACGTTCGCGGGTGCTATTAGCCCGTGCAAGGCAGCAATCATTGCCGGCAGGTAGGACTCGTTTTGTAACGCGTCGAGGCAGGTCCCGGTCGCGTCGTGCGAACTCATTATTTCCACTCCTTCACGTCCTTCCTTGCCTCTCCATGCACTCTCCTTTCGCGATTCTGCTTCTCGCTGCTGCTTCGCGGCGCCTTCTTCGGTCTCTTTTTGCCTCGTGCAACGATCTTATGTAATGTCTCAGTTGCGTGTTTCCCCGCATGCAGCTTGTTGCGCCGATGACTCGACTGTATGCACACCTGTGTGCAATAGCACGCGACGCGGGCCTTTGGTCTCTGGAAGAACACAAGGCGCTGCAATGCGCATTATCGCAGTGTAACGAATTAGGAATCTTGCAAGTCAGATCTCAAATGCAAACATTGAACTTAGATCTTTAAAATGTGCATGAAATGCGATTCGAATAAAAAGATAAATCACATTATTGCAAGTTTTATAAAAATAGAATAAAATTAAACTTTTTTAAACAAATTTTTCTAGATCATTTTTTTGCTTTTTCCGCTATTCTAAATATAATAAATGTGAAATACACTTAAATTTATTAAATACGCGCTTAGCAAAATTATATTTTCTAAAATTCTTAATTTTAAGGATTATAGTTTCTTTATGTCAAATCTGCAACAGAATCTTCTTAAAGAAAATTCTTTAACATTCGCAAAGCCAAATGTATTATATACAATACAAATTTGATCGATTACCATCGACGTTTTATGCAGCATTTCAGCCACCGATAGAAAATCTGTTACTAAAATTAAGTATCGACGATAAATTCTTCGACTATTTTTTCATTTTTTTTTTCTGACTCCGATATCGCCATTGGCGCGTACATTTATCGACATCGCAAAGATTTACGATCGTTCTGTATTACTTATGCCCAATAGGTTTATTAGCGTGATTAGTCGCTCCGAAGATAGATCACTCTATATACAACTAGATCTTGTTTTTCACTATGAGAAGCTTGATATCTCGAGCTTTTTGCGAGTGCAGTGACTCGTGGCGAGCTTAAAAAGAAGTCGTTTGATCGACGCTATATACTTCGTCAGGAACCAACGACATTACTTGTAATTTATTACGAGTTGTCGCCTCGTTACGACCGACTCTAAATCCGTACAATTTTCCTGTCGTTGCCCACGGCGACGTTCCGCCCTTTTGCTAAGTACCGGGTCTTTGAGCGTAATCCAAACCTCGCTTTAATGAATTTTTTTATTTAATAAGGAAGCCCGCGTGAATACGCTATACCGATCAAGGGATCATTTAATTTTTTATATCTACATACGAAACATGATCGTAACGGGATCCGAGAATTTCAAGCATGATATATTCATTTCCGAAACATAATGATGTGCTAAAAATATTACTTTCATCTTGTTTCTCTAACATCGCACATGGATCGTTAAAACGTGAAATAAAATTTTCGATGGCGACGTCTATAAGTACGCAATTGATAACAAGATGCGAGAATTAATTAAAGAGACTCATCAGCCGTTTAATAATCCCGAAAATTCTGACGATCAGGAAGGTCTGCGTACTAGCGCACGGTTGCTCTGTATGTACACATAGCACATACAGGATGGCGGCTTAGCGTCTCTGCCGACGGTTCTCCCGAGTGCCCTGCATTCGCCTTCTCTAATAACAATAATAATAAGAAGGGACGGAGGGCCGTTTTAATCAGAGGGTTCGCCAGTCTGACGTGATTAACTCGAAGGGTCGAGGAGGATCGAGGGGGAGGGCGAGGAAAAGGGCGGATGCCGCTGTCATTTCGGGTGTTTATCATATCAGGGAGAGGGGGTGTATTTCATTCGCACTGGGGTTAAATCTTAAATTTCACATTCGACTTGTACCTTTGTTTGCTGTTTCTTTCTGTATCTTTTCGCTGGTGGATTCTTTGCTCCACTTTGCTCGAATTTCATTATTCAATTGTTCGAGCATGAAAAATGTTCTGTTGTTTTTATTGTTGGATTCTCTGTGCGAAATATAATGCGAGTGCTATGCAATGTTAATTTGGTGCCACTAGTTTTTTCGAGACGGGTAGAAATGTTGAGATGACAAAAGAGAATTTGTATTTTCTTTGTGTTAAAAAAAAAAAGATAGCTTTAATATTTTTTCGTGTTAATATTCTCTTTTACCATTTTGTTATTAGAAAAATCGGTCATAGAAAAAATAAAGCAGCTTACAGGTGCAAAATGTTCCATACACTTTCAAAGTTAAGCACTCCAGTTTTGTAGTAAATATTTTAGATTTTCAAAGAGGATGTAACTTTTCACAGGAAGGAGAAAGGACAGAAAGTGCGCCACTGTGCTCATCTGACAGCGCCACTCTTCCTTTTGGCGCTGGAGTCATGTCTGCGGAATCCCGGCATCGGGAAGAAGCTCTCCCGGTCTCTCGTTTCTCTCCCCAGTCCCCCCTCGTTGATCTTACGTCTCACGTTTCACTCCGAAGTTCTAATTAACAGGATTTTCTCGCGAGTCTTTGAGAAGGCGCGCTCTGACATCGACAAGCGACAGGAGCGGTATTAAATACCATAAATTGATTTCATTCGAGCCGACTTAGATTTATAATAAATTTCTTGAACAATATCTTTGTCTTGTATGTTGTTACAAGCTAAAACTATTATATTACAGAAAATCTAATTTGTGTGCTAATACATGAAAATCATGTCAGATTTTTATTTCCCACGTTTAAAATATTTTTATCTGAAAAACGGAGATCAGTCAAATTTGATAAAAATTTCTTTTTTTTTTCTCTTTCAAATATTTGACCAAATATTATTTTGAATTACAAGCCGTTTATAAGAAGAAAAATATATGTGAGTATCTTTTTGCATTAACAATATATTCTAAAAATGTTACAATTGTATCTCTTATCACTCTTCACACTTATACTATATCAGATAGCGCGTGTGAATCCCGACGAAGCGGAAAAAACTGGTTTCTTCCGAGTCGGTGAAATCTTTCGTCGCCTTCGGGGGATTACTTCGCGACGAGACTTCTCGAGTAGTATCGAGTGTCAGTACTCTCTCGTCGCCGCGGGATTACTCGTCAAGAAATTTTTCACGCGGCTTCCGACGATACCTCTCCGGTCGGGCGCGATATCGACGGCATTTTTGTAAAAGTCATGAGCTCGGAGACGGCTCCGCTTGTGTTTTATTCCTGGATCAACGGCATCGCGAATCGAGCGCGCATGTATCGAATGTTTTACCCGCGTCCCAAGAGGATTTATAAACGCTGTTATCGCGGTAGCTTTGGCCTGGTCCTCCGCGCGAACGAAATTATTCTCTCTATAACTCGAGGAATGGAAAGCTGATTTCACTTTGCGATAGAGGAGGAAATAGGAATATAAAATAGAATAAAAATTTGAGGCATTAGGGTATGATCGTAGTTTTGAAAAACAATATAAAAAGTATGTAAATATAAAATTATTTGGACG